TTTTCTTTACTGGATATGCCATGCAATTATCCAAATACACTGGATACCTTTATGCTCCAGTTCTGATCTCAAAGCAGAGTTACTGCACTTGATCTGCCAAATCATTATCACTGTCTTTAAGTTGAATAACCAAATATGGTTGTGCTATACATTCTCTAATATTTTAGGAAATTTTCTATGTAGTCCTTCAGGCTAGGGGATGGTGATTCCAGGGCTTCTGGGTTAAGAAAGAAAGAAAAAGGGGTCACAAGAGGGTATCTTTAAAAAGGACACAAGGGCAGGACTCATGCACCTTTCTGGATTATTTTCTCTTTTTTTATCTCCCTTGTCTGAAATAGAGCAACCTTATGTCAAAGACTTTGTTAGTCTTTTGTTTATTTATTATGTCTCATTCATTGTAGTGTTTTCTTGCTAGGTTTATTCTCTTTAATGGTGAGTAAATTCAGATGATACAGAGATGCTCAAGTGCATATGACCTGGATTTTCTTTAGTGGATGACTGTGGATTGAGACAAACTGGAGTGAACAATGTTCCAGAGTTTATTGTTTTAATGTGTTGTGAAACATCAAAAAAAATTTCCTTTTATGCTAGTAGAATTGTTAGAGATAAATTTTCCAACAGAGCTATAAATTTCTGCCAGTAGCCCCAATTTTTTTCAAGAGACAGACATATAGCATCTGCCTATCTACTGTCCTAGCCCTCTCTACTCTAATTAATCCATGTGCTAAATTAAGAGCTTCTATTTCCTTCTGAGGAACAAATTGGTGTGAGATCAGAAACAAACCTTCTCGCTTTCTGACTAAAGAACTGCCAAAGATGAAGAAGAATGCTTAACTGGGTACAGAATTCACTTGGAATTGCTAAATGCAAGTCATAGTTGAGCTCAAAAAAGTCTTATTATTGAGGTCATGGTCTATTCTGTGGTAGGCATTAAATACTGTTCTATTGCCCCATTTCTGTTAGCTAAGAGGAGCTTCAATCTCACTCTGACCCTTGTCTCTCTGTCTAACTTTCACAGAAATTGTACTTTCTCAGGCTGTGTGAGGTAGTTTTTTACAGTTTCAGTGTAAAACTGAAGAGACAAGCCTATGTTGGCATTATCAGATGTAGCAGAGCACCAGAAAATCAGAGAGGGGAATGACATTTCCATTCAACAGGTATAAAGTTATCTGGTAATGATTTTGAGGATAGGAAAAATCGGTTTTAATCACCATGGTACATTTGTATTTTGCATTGTTAATATGCCAGTTTTGCAGAATAAATTATGTCACCATGTCTAACTTCCCTCAAGGTCTGAATGACCTTCTCTCCTGGAAGTTTTTGTAATACTGTGTTTGAAGAACCTCTTTGTGGGTCATTTTGGAACAAAAATGAAAGCTAAATTTAGCTTTTATTGAAAGAATTGGGGCTTTCAAACTCAATTTTTTGCACAGAAGTTTTAACAAAACTCATCTTGACTAAGCACTAGAACTTTGCTATTGTTCCAGACAAAAAGGGAATATTATAAAGGCAAAATCACTTAGTATAAAAACTTGGTGCTTGGCTTTCTGTATTACTTCTGAGCTTGGTGTTAGGTTTTAACATTGGAAGTTTATGGCAGAATTAATTTATTATTAAAGAGAAATCTACACTCTGAAAACAAGTTTTAACTTGTGTCATAGCTAGATGAAATGTCTTTTTTTTTCCCCTTTCTTTTTTCATTTTATTTTTCCTAAAGAACAGAGTCATACAATATGATGAGTTGGAAGGGCCACGTCAGGATCATTGACTCCAGCTCCTGGCCCTACACAGGATATCCCAAGAATCGCATGATGCACCTGAGAACACTGTCCAAATGTTTCTCAGACTTCTCAGGCTTGGTGCTGTGACCACTTCCCTGTACTTGCTATTTGGTAAAACAAAAGAGTAGGAAAAATATTACCAAGTAGTGTCTGTTCTGAATAACAATTTTGTTGGCTTGAATGCATTTGGCTTCTACTGGACAACCAAACCCAAATTAAATAATGGCAGGAGCTGTGCAGCGTGTCATGTGTTATTTAGTGCTGGTGCCATAGCCTCGTGAATGCTACTCAGATTTAGAAGCTGGGAGATGTTCTCCCAGTGAAGGGCAAGTTCATTCCAATGGTCAGGACAAACATCCTTGCTAAGATTCACCTTGTCCTTGACAAGGGCCCCTTTAGGAGCAGCTGAATTCCTTATTGCCCAGTAAATTTTCCTTGCTACTTTCTTTGAAAAAGTAAAAGATTTTAACCCATGACAAATGAGGAAGAGCCCAACTTTTGTGTGTATCTTGATGGTATCTGTAAGAATATGTATGTGAACACAAATGACCCACAACTCCTCCTGCATTAAAAGTTTAATGTACACCTAAATAATGTGGAATCAGAAATAAACATGTATGTGTTTGGCTGGGCAGGTCCATCATCTCAAATATGATGAGTTTTGGATTTAGAAATTTGGAGATATGCAAAAAACTTGACTGGATAGTGTCCTGATCAACCTGCTGGCATTGACCCTCCTTTGACAAAGAGGGTTGAGCTACATGACCTCCAGATCATCTTAGCCCTTCTGTGGAAGGGTTAGGTTTTTGGCAGCTCTCAACTTGCCAGAGAAAGAGACAGGAAAAGTGGAAGTTAAGCTAATGCTTCCCAGTGAGACACAAGTTCAGTACAGCCTATAGGAAGCACTACTAAAAACAACTAGAAGTGTCTGTGACAGATTCAGTCCTATCAGTTAGTTTGTGGACTCCTGTGTAATTCATTTGCATGGGCTCCACTGGAAAACACTGTGTATGTCAGGCAATATTCTAACATTGGAAAATTTTTGGTTGCTACTGGTTTAAGAGAGTGATATGCACTTTCAAGTTCTAGCTAAATCAGAACTACATTTGACATTATTTTATTTTTGAATAATTATTTGATATTAAGAATGTCTTTAAAGCATACTCAGAATGACTCCTGTATCTAGACATGATTGAGTTGGCGATGGAGGATTTCAGAAAAAGATGCATTAATTTATGATCTTTGCAACTGGATTAGGAGGGAGGGGGTTTCATGTCCTTGTAGAGATCACTTTATTTTCTCAGTGTCAGTTTCTTGCTCTTTGAAGGTGGCCTTCCTCCAACTCTCCATAAAAGTATTCTGGTAACATGGGCATGCTAAGAGCTGCAATATGATTAGTAATGCTAACTACTGAAAAAGAACAAGCCAGGTTTTCAAGGGATCTAGTTTTATGAAGTTTTGTAACAATATTATTGGCAAAAGTAAGCCTAAATCCCTGAGTGTTAGAGTAAAATAGTTTATTTTTAAATATTTTTTAAAAGGACACTCAATTTTTAGCGCACTAGTTATTTCAGAAAGTTTGTGAACAAGGTAGGAGGAATGTTTTAGAATAAAATATACTTTAAAGTAATTTAAAGAATCTAGTTGTGTTTTTAACATTTTACAGCTTATTTTTTGATTTCCAACTCCATTACTGCAATGTAGATAAGTTTAATGTTAATAAATAGAATAGTGTGTTCAAAGTAAGTTGTGGAGGCTGTCACTGGTAATTGCAGCTTAGTGAGACGTATGTTGTTTGACAGATTTGGGGGAATAAGAGAACATACAGGAGGAGCTGTGCCTGTTCTGGTTTGGGTTGTGGGATTTTTTGCCAGGCCAGAGATTGAAAGCATGATAATGGCCATGGGTTTATCACAATTCTTGCTGTGTTTTCTTAGCATTGTTTAAGAGCAACAATCTTCAGTCTTTTAATGGGTTCACTTGACAAACATGCTTGATATTCTGAAATAGCTGTAAAAGTTTGCATGTGAACTGTGTAGGATGAACTGAATTAATAGAAGATTCTGCACTAATCTGTTTTTCTAAGAGTCAAAACATGTTCAATTCTCTTTTACCCAATAATTTTGTAATAATAATTTACTTAAAGCTGACAAATTACATTCATATTACTGGAGTTGATAATTAACACTATTGACAGGTACAAAAACAGTGTACAAATGCTTAATGTATATAGTAGAAGACTTCGCTGTGTTCCTATTACAGCTTTCCTACATCTGGTTTGTATCATTCACAGTAGAAGTGGCAGGTGTTGGGGTCATTTATATGAACATTTATGCTATTTACCTAAAGGCAGAATTGAAGGACTTGTTTGACTTTATTTAATTTTCAAATTCCTCTACTGAGTGTAGAAGGAAGCTTTACCTGCTGCAATTTAAGGAAATCTAGCAGTGATGTGGTGTGCTGAATGAAGCACATTTCCCTGAAGCAAAGAAGCATGTTTTAAGCTGACAGTTTACTACCATGCTTGTTCGGCTTCCTGGATGCGATTGTATCCATATGAATTTATGTACCCTAATTTGAAAATGTTTTGAATACTCTAGACAGTAAGATCAAAGAGCTTTCCAAAAAGAGCAAGAAACTAAAAGGTCATAATTCTTTTTTTAACCACTGTGTCCCAGTTAGAACCTCACACAGGTAAACGAAAGCAGAAAAATTGGGTAGCTTAGAGCAATTGGAAAAGGAGAATTCATATGTAGAGATGGCAATGTAATAAAATACCAGGTGTAAAAGCAGACCTAGGAGGATTCCAGGGAGTGTACATCTTGCCACATTCCTTAGAGAGAAGAGAATATATTCAGAGAGGAGTGGTAAAACAAGAGGAGCTTGTTTCATTCTTCCCATCCTCACCTTAAGGACTGATTCCTGTTTACTTGTGTTGTAAGAATTAACCTTTTCCCTGTGTAAGCTAATTTTGCAGAGCTTTGAAAGCTTAATTGACTTTGCTGCATTAGTAGTAGGTCACTTCTGCACTTCATTGTTCTGGGAAGTGTGAAGCATGACAGTCAGATGCCTCAGAGAGAGTTGCAGGGTGGCAAACTGCTGAGAGCCTCTGGGAGCAGATGTTGAACCCCAGGCCCAAAACCTGAAGTTCTTTACAATTTGGAACCTTACAATAAAGTGCTTTTGTTAAGTGGTTATTTTTTCCTTATCTATTCTCAGGGTTGCTCTTGTGGAAAATATTCCTGAAGGGATCAACTATTCAGACAGTGCACCATCCCATTTGTCTCTTTTCCAAGGCTGGATGAATTTGCTTAATATGGCTGAAAAGTCTGTTGACATAGTATCTTCCCAGTGGGACCTCAATCACAGTCATCCATCAGCATGCCAGGTATGTTCTAGTCTAACGAAAGAGTGGGACCTTAACAGTCTGTTCTTATTGTCAAACTGTTTTACAGAACTAAAACCCTTCCCTGTAGCAGAACTATTTATCTGAGGAGTCTAAAAAATGGGGATTTTCCTGCCAATACAAAAGTTTCTGAGAGCAGTGGTGTGCTTGGACTACATAACATTCAACATATAGCACTTCCACCTTAGGAAAGAAAGTCATTGTGTAACCTTAAGAAACATGTCAAATTGTTTATATATTAGCACGTCCACCTATTTGGGAATATTTATAAATCTATGCAATTATTTTCTATTTGCTGCTACTGAGGAAATAAAAAGGCAAGTGTGTGGATTAATTCTCCAGCCAAATAGATGGATAGAATTACACTTACAAATAACAATATTGTATCAGATGATTCATAGCTTTTCAAAATTAATCCTTGGAGGGAGTGGTGTTCAAGATTTCTGCAATTAAGAGCAGCATGAAAAATCATAAATCATAGTGAATAAGGCAGACATGCATTACAGTGATGCTGTGCCAACAAACACTTCATTCTTGAGAGCAATCTTCTTATAAATATGGTCAGGAAAAATTTCCATTTAGCATCACTTGTGAAACTAACACATCAGAGAAGAGATAAGCTGAGAGTATCTCCTCTTTTCCACTAGACAGATTGTTTGCTGAAAGGAGCCACTCAGCTGACATGAAATGGGGCTAAAATGACAGCCAGGTAACTGTAAGGAATCAGCTCCATTATACCATGGCATAAACTCTTGACTTTCCTTTCTAGCTGTGTTGATGCTGTGCAGTAAAAAATGTCTTTCGGTAGATGATAGGCAAATCTTGGTACTCTAACCAACTATATTCTGCTTCTTTTGAAATAGACTGTAGCTTAGTTGAGGCTGCATTAATTTTTCTTCAGAATAAGTTTCCTACATGTCCATTTAAAATACTGAAAAATATAAGGTGTGCAGATGAATAGAAAATGTAATGCAAACCCTTCATTTTAGAATGCTTCTAAATATTGGAATATGGTTGGTGAATAAATTTATGGAATATCAAAATACTGACATTTTTCACAATGTAATTATGCAGCTAAGCTTTATTTAAATTTATTGCCTAAGCAGCTTCAAACCCATGTAGTGTCATTCAAGCAGATGAATTCATGGAGATAGTGCCTTGGATGTTTCTAGGATGTGCATGAATTCATATTGCATGAATCTTTCAAAAATATTTTGTCTGAAAAAAAATTCAGCATGTCATTTGCTTCAAAGCTGACAGAGCCTAACAAATCCCAAACAGAGGACAAAAAATAGTAAAATTGAATTTGGGATTCCTGTAGTTAAGCATCAAATCCATTTCCACATTCACATTGCAAAGTAAAAACTGTAAGATACTATTCAGCAGGGAAAGGAAGAAGAGGCATCTAAGAAGTGGATTTGGTCTTTTGTCCTCAAATGCACAGCTAAAGATGAAAAAATGAAACATTTTTCATAATATTCTAGTCTAGCTATGTTTTTTTTGCCTGCTAGTAGTTGTACAAAAATTAGTAGCTTTTCTGTTTAATGGAAATTAATATTCCAATCATATTCTCATTTGTACAGCAGTGTGGGCTGAACAGCTGATAGATCTTTCTGTCAATCTTGTCCATTCATGCTAAAACACAGTATTGTTATTGGCCAATCTGATTACTAAAAAATTGCCAAGAGGCAGTGTTTCTTAGCAAATTCCTGCCTCAGAGAATGTACACAAAGCTCATGCTGTTAAAGGGAAGGGAGAACTTGTATTGTTACATCTGCTTTCTCAGCTCGGTGAAGTGAAAGTGCAATTTCAGAGGAGCTTCAATAACTATAATCTAGTAATTGTTTGACGAATAAATCCAATGTCCTCAAGTCTTTACAATTTGAGTTTAGGGAAATTTGACCAATATAGCAGAAACATTATGAAAGGTAAGGGGCTGAGATGCAAAATTCACAAGTAATACAGTGCTTAGTGAATCAGCTTAGTTGTTCCTTGAATGATTCTTGTTTTTTAGAAATTAAGGACATAACCATTTTCCATTTGGACTTACATCCTGATCTATAATTAGCAATTTCCATTTTATGAATATTCAAGTCGCATTGGAGAGCAAGGTTCTCCAGAAGAGCACTTGAGCAGACATGGGTTTTTAAAGGAGAAAAGCAGAGTTGGCTAGATTTCTTTTTCTCAATTAGTTACTACTATTAGTTACTACATTCTCTCCCTACATCTGTGTAGTCACATACAGACATGCATGCATACATGTACATGCACATATGAACAATATACATGTCGAAAAAGAATGTAGCAGGAAATTCTGCAGCTTTCTATACACACATACGTATATATGCCAAATATACATGTCATCTGTATGAATACATATTGTCTATCTTGTCCAAATATATATTGAACATACATAGATATGTATACATTTGAATATATAAAATTGCAGATCTTCCTGCTGTATTTTTCTTTATTTTTGTTTGTGGGTATGTTACCTACTGTCCTTGACTCATGCTTGTCTGTATTTTGTTGTTATAAATCTAAATAAACATTCATTGCCAACTGAGCTGTCCAGGTCACAACAGCCACACTCAGTCATCTGAGATGATGAGTTTTCCGAAATTGGATTCTCTAAAGACAGATCATTCTCACACGATGAGATGGCTTTTCTGTGCTTCAGCAGATAAAGCAGTCAATTAAACTAATATTTGCTTGGCAAAATAGTGAGTTCTCTCTACACTGCTCTTCTCTTTCAGAAAAAATCCATGTATTTTGGTGAGTTTGTATTGCATTGGTGTGTTTTCAAGATAGCAGGGTAGTTGTCATGTAGAAGCAATGAGGTTTTTGTAGAATGTCAGTATGTGACTCTTCCTGTGGCAATCTGATGTTTAAAGATATTAGAGGAAAATGGAAACTTGCTTTTAAGTATGGATTTTGATTAATTTGCAGTGAAAAGAGAGAGGTGAATACAAGATCATGCCAGTTTATAACTTTCACAGTTCATTTCCTCTGGGTCATCTTTTGTTTTGAAACTTTAATTTAGAATGTCCTTTTAGATTTCCAGCAGGTCCCTCACAAAGTTTCTTTTTCACAAATCAGAATCAGTGCTATCATGGCTTATTGGTATTGCTATGTGTATGACATAGTTGTCCCTGGAGAGATATTTAGATAAACATAAGGTGATCAAAGGTAGATTTGCATTTGATTTTTACAAGTATCACGTAAAAAATGATACTTCTGTTTTTATTCACCAACCTACTGTGCATCTCCCAGATGGATTGGTGGGGGAAGTCCCCCATCCATATGATGCTTTGTCTCATGTAAGGCAGCTGTCCAGCTTTGTAATGTATCTCTTACGATACATTACATTATGACTTCTTATGAGAAGTCATGAGTCACTCACACATTCATTGCCCAAGGAGCTTAAGGGATTTGTTTGGTAGAACAAATGTTAGTGCAAGAGCTTAAGTTCCCTTCCTTGAAAATTATTTTAAAATGCAAATAAATAAAAAGATGATATCTCTAAATCTAGCAGCTCTCAGTGGAAATTGGATAGGATCAGCCATAGAGATCTATAAGCTCATCGTGATGTAGTCATCTCTCCTCCTCAGGTGGTGATGTTTCCCTGGTACTGACTGAGGCATAGAAAATAAATTCAATTAAAGGAGTGCTTTTAAAATGAAAGCATATTCCCTTCATTTGCATTAACTGTTTGGTTAGAAGAATTGAGGAAATAATTTAAGTTTTTTTGTTCTGTATTAGATAGCAGCAGTAAAAGTGAGGATTTCTTGATTTATTTTCTCTATTGGTTTCTGCCAGCATGCTATGGCTTTTAGTGATGTTTTAGCAATATACCCAGAGGCTTGATTATGGGAAAACTTGAGAAAAAATAGTGGAATTATATCTAAAAAAACCAGAAGAAAAGTCTATTAAATAACCAGTTTTTTTCTGTGGGATTAAAAAGATAAGCATTTTCTAAACTGTAGGAATCAATGTTACTGAAGAGTACAATAATGCAATTTGAGAGTCCTTCAGTAAATAACAGCATTTTCATGTTTGTATCTCCCCATTTTATTCCTAATGAGGAACCTGTGCTGATAGAGACAAGAGCAGACAAGGGAAATCAGCCAGGTTACAATCAACCTGTCTAGACTCTGCCAATAAATTTCTTTGGGGGAAATTTCAAGACCTTTTGGTAATGACATCTTCGGGGTTTTTTTTTTTAATTCACCAGTATTCTGTGGCAGGTACAGTTGGGACTGATATTTGAGATTTATGATAGTTTAAAGCTACTATGCAGAAGTACATTTTTTCATGTGATAAATACTTTTTGTATTCTGTTTTGTCATTTTTGATAAGGTTTTTTTCAAACAGTAAAAGGAGTAAAAGAATATTTAATTGGGATAAGCAGATTTCTGGTGGTATTGTTTTTTAAAATGCAGATATTGCTATAAGGTAGCCACAGTTTCATAGCACTTGTCTGCTTCTATTTCTCAGTCCTCACGAGTTGGGTATATAGATATGCTTCTGATCACTGTCACGTAGTCGTGCAGCAGCCTGGTATTGTCTCACAAAGGGAATGTGGTCTGAATGACAGCATAAGGGTTTGTATTCAACAGAAGCATTTCAAATGCTCTGACAGCAGTAACAAAACATTTCAGACCTTCTGTCCTATCATTTTTTCCTTTCATGGAACAAACCAGTAAAATTGCAAGTAAATATGTCAGAAAGTGTAGAAACTGGGTTTCAAATTAATATTAATGGGGAAGAAGTCTAGGTTCTTCAGCAGTGTGGGAAGAATTTCTAATAACCCTATTTACTAGAGTATATACTTGCTTTTAAAAGCAAGTTGTGAATTTTTCATGGTTTGGTTTGTCGAGCTTAAGTCCTGGTGAGGGTATGAATGCCTGCTGGGGGATGATGCACTAACAGATGAGACAAAGGGAATTCTTTCTAATTTTGTCGTGGGTGGTGGTTTTTATGTACCTATATAAATGCAAATATTTGTGGTGAGCGTACTCCTAGTTTAAACCATCACTACTTAGAGATGCTTTAAATATTGAATCAATTTGAGGTTTTACCTCAAATTATACATGTAATTGGGGGAAAAAAATACCATAAATGGATAGCTTTTGGTATCCCCAATGGGAAAACAGATGCATTTTCAGAGGAGATGGTTTCATTGGAATGCAGGGCTGCACTCCAAGCAATCTATTAACACATAGGATGGGCTGTTCAACAGGCAGCATGGCTTATAGGAGGCAGCTATGTTGCTTACATCAGGGCATACTAATATCAAGGAAAACTCAGGAGGTGCTGCCAGGTTCTTTTTTGTCCAAACTACAGTTAATACAGAAAGTCCAGACTTGTTTGTCAAAGCTTTTATAAATCATGTAAATAAAGTCTCCTACAGGTAGAAGTGGCAATAATATCTGAAAATAACTACCATAGGGAAATACGATTAGGAACCACCCCCTGAAGCAATTAATTTTATCACTTTTAGACATTAACTTTCTAATAATTTCTTTATCAGAGGAGTTAATGTAGTAATTTGTATTGATAATGATAATAATTTTCAATCCAATTTATGAATGCATTTTCTATGTTTATTTTTGCATGCTAGAACTTTCTGCTGTGCTTCTAGACAGAATCAGTTTTTACAGATAACCTAAACAAAAATGGTGTTTATCTGTCTACCTAGTAAATGGAATCAACACAGCAAACCTGAGTAGCTGTTTCTGCTTATACATATATTAGTTAATATGCATAATGCAAACCTTTTAATCCTTGATTTTCTCAACTCACTTTTGCAAAGATGTAGCTCATGAAAACCAAAAGTGCTGGTGTTTCCCAGTCAGGAGACCCATATGAAGCATGTCCAAAGGCTGGCTTACCCAGGAGCCTGTTGCTTTGGGATAGCTGGGGGGATGGGGCAAAGCAAGGATTGGGAATTTAGCAGACAGCCCGGCAGTGATGTCTGTTTCCAGATTTGGTTAGAGTCTAGCAGTGCCAGACTAGCACTTGCATGAGAAACCCTCTTGGAGGGAGCAGGGCACCCAGGCACACTGGTCAGTGCACCTCTGCTCCCACAGAATCATGCTGGAAAACTATCCATCATCCATCTCCTCCACACTCCTATCTCATTAATTCTTACATTCTCTGTAACATTTGCTCTTCTTCTTAAAAATACCCAACACAATCTCTGGTGTAAGAATTACGGATATTTATTTTTTTTTAGCTTGATGAGATATGTGAGGGAAAGCCACTCCTTCACTTACACAGCAGCTCGGGGCTCTTGGGTGTGTGAGTTAAAATCATGGAAAGCATTTCTTATATATGGAACCACCTAGTCACCTTGGGAAGTGCTGAATCTGAGTATAAGAAGCATTTGGAACTTCATGCAAAGAGTGTTTTTGTTTTCCTGTTCTGTTAGCTGTTCTTTAATGCTTTCACTATGGAAGCGTTGTGTTCACTGCTAAGTTCTTGTGAGCCCTGGGATGATCAGGGAGCTATACTATGGATTTGAGTGAGTAAGCAGTCATACTTTACAAAAGTGAAACAAACTGTAGTCCTGTTTGCATTGCAGCCTCTGGCTGATTGGTAATTTTGAGAAAGCTGTATTTTAGGGGGATGGGTATATTTTTTTTGCCACATATATTCAAAACAAGTGAATATTAAAAAATAGGTCTGTACTTTAGCCAGGGGAAGCACTACTTTCTGCGACTGTGTAATGTTTAAAGCCCAGCAAGGCTCAAGCTTTCAGTCTGACTGGGAAATTACTGGACAAATTTCTAGGCTTTCCATTGTCTGCTGCTGATGGGTTTTCAGTGTGTGGGGAGGACTTTTGTCTGAGATTTTGTTGGTCCATGCCGCATCATATTATATCATCCCAAAGTGTTCTTGGTTTGGTCATTTGTTTTTTTTAATGAAAAGATCCTTTTAAAATTCTTGGTTTCTACAGAGAATTATGTAACATGGTTCTGTGAAGAGCTTTGTCTTCTACCTATTCATTTGAAAGTTGATGCAAACCTGTTGCTTTTTTTGTTTTAAGTTTATCCTGAGGCAAACATTGCATTGAATCTAAAGTGAACTGTGTAGGTAGGGTAGGCATTTTGTCAAGTGCATAAATCCAAAGTCTTTCTGTATTGGGCTGTTAATTGAAAGTGGTGTCTGCCGTACTAAGTTAGAATAGCAGCAAGGAAGTGAACTCTGGCTGTAATTGTAGTAACAACACAGGAGCGATACACTTGAGAGTTTATTCTTTACATGGTCTAGCTGGATGTTACTAAACTTTTTTATTTAATTTAAAATATTTAACCTAAAATTTAAACATTTACAATGCAATCAGAAGTTTTAATTCTTGTTTGTTTCTTGGATATGGAAAAACATAATGATTTAAATTTTTTTCATATGAAACAAATATCTTCATTTCTGTTTTGACATGTATCCAGCTCAGTATGAATTTCCTTTTCGTATTCTGTGTTAGAAATAGGGTCTAAATAGTAACATTTTACAGCAGGATAAAAAGTAAAGGCACATAAAATACCTATAGATTATTGTTTTCCTTCTTGGTATAATTCATCTAAAGATGAGCATGCAACTACTTGGGAATGAGTTGTACTATGGTTAGAACCACTTGCAAAAATATCACTCAATACAGAAAAAAAATGTAATAAACTGTTTTCCTGGAGCTTTTAATACTAAGTCAACAGACTGATTATTTAGAAGAAAGTTAATGTCAAAATGTGCTTCTGCAGCATAAAACCCCTGGACGCTTCATTTTCTGCCTGACACCTGTCACCTTGTCAGTACTGCACAGTCTGGGAAAAGCAAGATACCTTATTGGCCTTTGGAACAGTATTTCTCCAAGAAAATGAGTTTGAGTTGCAAACCTTTAGGGTAGGTTTAATAATATCTAGGAACATAGTTACTTGGATGTTGTTTGTAGTGTTTTTATTTTAACATGCTTTTTAAATTTGTTGATATGCACAATGTTGATCAATTCTGTATCTAAAAGCTTCTGCTTTCCTTTAACGTTCTTCCCAGGGTCAGCGTCTTTTTGAAAAATTGCTTGAACTGGCGTCCCGAAATATTGAGATAAAACTAGTGAGCGATAAACTGCCTGTGGAATCAAAGGTATTAAACGACTTGAAAACAAAGGGTAAGACCAAGGTCTTTGTGTTGTTATGCCATTACTACTGTGTGAGGTTGCTATTATTTAAAATGCACACTCAAATGGTACATAAAATGCACACTACTGGCATTACACTATAACTATAATCCTTCAGCTTTCTCAGATTCATAGATGTCAGAAATCTGAAGCTGTTACTGTAGCTGATGTTTGCAGTTACCAAACCTATAAAAAGCAGTACATTAGATAGGTGTTTAAATTCCCTGTAGCCATTTTAATAGAAGGCAACATAAACTGAGAGTCTGGGCTAATACCGTGGGACAAGATACTTTTCCTCTTTTGAACAATGGCAAAGTAAATTAATAGAACAATGTGTATGGTACTGATGATTCTGAAGCACTGGAAAATATACCATTTATAGTGGTCAGATTTAACCAGCTGACAAGGTTTTCTGTGCTGTGTGTATTTCTTTGGTCTCTTGTTTCCTAATCATTATTCTGAGGCTCAAAAATCCCTATATAAAGAGGAATTACACATTGGCACTACATGAATGAACTTGTTTTATGTAAAACCACATTGTCTTGGTTTGAAAAGACAGGTGTCTGCTAAGGAAGGCAGAAACCACCCTTGAAATGGGAGAATGTAAACCACCCCACCCCTCTCCAAATTATTATAATCTTGAAATCAAGGGGCTCTCAGGCAAAGATATGGGAATAGGAATAACAGTACTTTATTAGGAAAATTAAAATAAAAATGTAGTAGTACAAAAAAGAAAACCAACAAAAACCAACCCACTGCCAGAGTCAGGGTACAACCTGACACCCTGTTGGTCGGGGTGTTGGTAGCAGCCCAATTAAATGGTGGCTGCAGTCCTAAAGTGACAGATGTGGTTCTGTTGAAGTAATGATCCCATAGAAGGGTGTAGCTCTCCTCTGAAGGTCTGGTGGTGTAGATGGGTCCAGTCTCTCTCTTTTGGGAATTCAGCAGAGAAAGGCTGCTGTGGTGTTCCCAGTCTCCAAAGATACACAGGTTTAGATGCTTGGCTCCTCCCGCTGTGTGGAGCATCTCCCAATGGGATGATGTAATTTTATCAGTCATGCAGTGAGACTCGATGGCCCATTAACACGGTTATGAGGGATGGGTCATGAAAGAGATAAAGAAAATTGTCCCACCAGGTTTTAACAGATAGAATACATAGTTTTGGTTACATTTGGTTACATTGCAACCCAAGACATGTGGAAAAATAGTAAAGAGAATTTAAGAATTGCTGAAAGAAATTAGTCTCTCTTAGGAGTTCTTGAAATCTCATTCACATTTCTCCTCTTAGTTATCTATATCTGATAAAAGCATGATTTTAAGTGTAAGATACACTTTTCAAAGATCAAAAGGAACGTATGTGTTTTGATGGTAATCATTTTTGACAATGATACATGTATGGATCACAAAGGAAACTAAAAAATTTGGTTAGGCAAAGGAGTTGCTATGCGTCGTAGCACCCTAACATAGCATGACTGCTCATGGTAAAGAATAAAGGGCACCCTCTTCCCACAAAAATCAATCTCTATTTGTTTAAATTCCTTGTAATCTACTCACTGCACAAATAGAAGAATATTACTAATGGAAGTCCTTATCCCTGAAGGAGACTGGCTTTTAATCAAGATTGACATGTTATTTAAATTTAATAAATTTAATTTAAAAATTAATAACTATAGATCCGCATCATTTCATGACACTACCTATTCCAAGGATTTGATGATTTCTGCTACATAACCAAAAGAGTTATTGATCCTTTGATAACCAATAAGAATATATCAAATAGTCATATATATATATGTGGAGTGTTTTTCTGATGTGCTCAAAAAGAAATAGCTATTTTAACATCAATGTCAGTGAAATTATATTTCAAAAAGTTGTTTCTTTTCCCTGTGATTCTAATACCCCAAATTCCTATGAGTCAGATAATAGGACAGGTAGGCCTGTATATTCATATCAATGTACTGGCAACAGGTATTTTAAGTATCATTTATTAAAAATACCCAGTACCAAAAATTATCCTCTTTCAAAAAAAGATTAGGAGAATTTTTTAGCTAGAGAGGGAGAGAAATGTTTAACACTTCTTTCTATTTATGTAGGAATTAATTTAACCTGCAAGCTTAAAAAACCCCAGAACACAGGCTTTTACAATTTTACTCTCTTCAGTTTCCCTTATGCCTTTTTTAGGTTTCTGAGGCAGGAAATCTTACAGTGTTTAAATAAAATGATTGATATATTTGTGCTCTGAGCTGCAAAGGATTGGGGAATGTTGCAAGTAATTCTTGTGAGTTTTGTTATAATCTTTGAACCCTGGAATTGTATGTATTATTGTGTACTATTGGCCTTTCTCAAACTTCAATATTACTATATCAATATATCTAGATTTTCTCACTATGATTATTTTTTTCTCATTCTGTATTTTGGTCGGCTAATTTCTACACTGATATTTTTATTAGAATGTCTTGGTTATGGCAAGGTGATTGCCAGCTCTGTTGCAATTCTTTCAATCCTTTAGGTTTGTTGTTTGGTTTTTATTTCCATGGAAGCTAAATAAATCTTTCTTTGGTTTTGCATTCCTGAAAACAAATAAATTAGTCTTAAATTCAGTCAGATTTAGTTGTCTTAATTTTATGTTGAAATGAGTAGACCTTGAATGAGAAGTTTTTGGTATGTCCTTTTTGTGTCAAATAGAAGCTAACTGGGAGGCTAGCTTAAAAAAAAAAAAACCAAACAGATACTTTAATTAATTAATCTTTGCTCTGGTATCCTGGAAAAGCTATCAACTAAAATTATTGATTTTTTTGCTTGTGAGCAGCTGGCCACCTGCATCCTCAGAAATCAGTCAGAACTGATCATTGGAAGGAAGCTGTGCATTATCACTTGGACTTATATCCATGAAGACAACTAATTTTTTTTTCCTGCAACCAGTCAGATTTATCTTTAAAATATGCCATGCACTCTTTGTAACAGATACATTCCTCTCTTGGTGAAGAAAGCAGTAAGCAAATCAGTAGCTCAGCCAAGTTGTGAAGCATCTCAGGATGGAAAATTTGTCTGAGCAGACCCAAGTCCCCACCTGTGGTGTCGGTCTGAACGCGGCAGCAGAGTCCAAGCACTACTCTTGGGTCCCTCACCTGATAAACTACTCTGATTGATTCTGAGCAGCAAACGTGCTTGGCACCCGAGCCATGGGCAGTAGTATGGACAGAAAGCACACAGACAGTGGGACTCTGGGAATTCCATGCCTTTCTGAGTCAGCCTTCATCTTGCTGGGTGGGCATAGATTTGGCTCCTTGCAAGGCAGATTGTATGCATGAATCAGACTGTCTCCAGTCTGTTCTACTGAATATGAGAGAGAATTTCTGTTGCATGAAGAGGGTAGATGAGTCTCGCCTTTCTTTTCAGCAGACTGGGTGATCAGAATCCCGGTGTTGTGCCCTCATGTGGTGCAGACTGGTTCTGGGGCCAGGACAAAGGATAATCTGGCTGTTGGCCACAGATGTACTTGTTATTATACTGCTCAGGGACCTTAAGGGAATCTTCAGGTAGCATGCCCTGTCTGCTTTAAGTAGCCTCGATAAAGTGGAATCAGTTTAAACACGTGGGATTGCTTGAAGACCAGTACTTGGTCATCCATATGTTTTCATGCAGTGTTTTGGCTTTTTTGTACAAAGAACCATGGTAGGCTCCTGCACTGCTGCATCTCAACACTGGTGTTGAGATTATTTTTGCCAGATTATTCCAGCACATCTTTCCTTTTTCTAGACAGGCTTGCATTGAGTCCCCTTGCCTCTTCTCCCCATTTCTGAAGAAATGCAGAAAGCAGTTTTTATATATCTTTTCAGACACAACAGTGCATCCTACCTAGAGTCCTCTCCACACGTCCTTCCTCTGCAGCAGCTGTCCCTACCGATTAATAGAGAAGGTTGAAATCTGACTTTAAATGTGGGCTGGTGGGGTAAGATTAAAAAAACAAAACAAAACAGAACACATAACTTATGCGGACGGGGGAGCAGAACTGAACTGATATGGAGTAAAATAAAATTAGTGATTCACAGTTGCAATGCTAGTGCAGATATCTGAGCTAGCTCTGAACCTGCAGGTTTGTCATCACTCCAGTAACTTTTTTTTGCCCTGTCTATGCTATCCTGACTTAGTTGAAGTAGCTGTAAAGCAGGGGAGCTTGTTTATGGGAGTCCAGTGGCTGCAGTGTGAAATATGGATGAATTTATTGTGTTAACACATACCACACTGTGTCAGCTGCAGTGACAGGATTCTCTCACTGCTGAGATAATGTACATTTGCCAATAGTTGCTGGACTGAGTCTTTTTTAGTTGCAAAACTAAGTATTCAAAATAAGGAAATACTAATCCATAGTGTATATATCCTATATTTATATCTATAGATAGATAGATATCCTATATTTACAATAGACTTTAATTACATTATCAGATTCTGTATTTTGCACAGAATGCCTGGCTGGTACTTGTTGTAATCTTACCATATTAATCAGAGGGTTTTCCTTTATATTGAATGAGAATACATCAAACATTTAATGCTTAAGGCAGTTGATGTTCATTCAGGGGATATTATTTCTACTGGTAAGGGCTAGAATCTTTATTTATCTTCATATTTAATGTATGTCTCTAGGCTTTCTTCATCGCACATCTGCCAGATCCTCCACTGAATGCAGAATGATTAATTTCCTCATAGACTTTTCTGTGCTGTTTCTCGCTGTGGTATCTGAGTGCTCTGCATATACAGTATTAATGAATTTCTTTTTACAACATCCCTGTTACGTGAGGTTTCTTGCTGTTTCTGTCTCTTGGGGATAACTGCTGATTATTAATGGCAACACAGGCACCAGAAGCCAGATCCAAGCATTTGTTTTCTATAGTCGCAATTAAAATTTTAAAAAGTGTATTAGTAATTAAAAAAAAAAAAAACACATGTAAGCTCTCCCAGCTCACATTGTCCAAATTATTTCTAAACAGTCT